TTGTTTATAACAAATTATGATAAAACAGTGTTCTGCATCGAATTTTTTCATGAAAAAAGTACTGTATATGTATCAAGGGGAAACCTGAATGAATCCGTTGAGAAAAAAAATGAGACTCATTTGGAAAAAATGCTATGATTATTATATTCACTTTTTTTATTATTTTTTTTTGTCGCTACATTTACATTGTTAAATTCAGAAATAATAGTATATTCAAGGAATCGCTATAATGCCGGGCCCGAATGTGTGTTTTAATCCTCTACGAAAAAATAAGCATAAGTCAGTGAAAAAAAATCTGAAACTCGTCAACGCCAATTGGAGTAGTGTGTATTCCCCTTTTATTGGGAAGTATTTATGTGACTCGTGCAGACTTGCGATTTTATCGTCGTCTTTACCCCCAAGTTGTGTAAAAATTCCTACTGCAGAAGCTGTACAGGATGAAATTCATATAAGCGATTCCTATTCCGACACTGAACCTGACGGTTTGTCTTCCGATCATGATATAAGTGAAAATGAGTGTAAAAAAAGAAAAATCGATAATGGTAAAATGATTTGAGTCCAGTATTGAATTTTTGTTGTATGGTTTTGTTGATTATTTTTCAGATCTGAATGAAAGTTCAGATTTATCCAATGTAGAAACTTCAACCTTGGCTGCTTGGACAGAGCAGGTTAAAATTGCGATATCAAGTGCAACATCAAAAGCAGAAAAAATTAAAATTTTGACAACATTACCTGAAGATTATGGTGTAAGGAAAATACACCGAATATTTGGAGTTTCTCGACGTGCAGCTTGGAATGCAAAAAAGTTGCAAAAATCACGAGGATATGCTTCTACTCCTCATAAAAAAAAGGGTCGTGCCTTATCTGTGGATGTATTAGCTGCAGTTGAAAATTGTTACACGTCAGACAATTCAAGTCGAATTATGGCTGGAAAAAGACAGTATGTAACCGTTATGAGAAATGACGGGGAAAGTGAAGATAAGCAAAAACGGTTGTTGTTGCATAATATCAAAGATCTGCATGATAAATTTTGTAAAGATCATCCTGATATCAAAATAAGTTTATCAGCATTTACGAAATTACGTCCTGTTTGGTGTATTCCTGTTGGCAAAAGTGGAACGCACAATATATGCGTTTGTGTCATACATCAAAATATGAATTTGAAATTTGCCGGCGTTAACGATAGTTTGAAGAAGAGTGGAGTTGTATCTCAATTCGAAGTGGGAAAAAGTCTGCAAAAAATGGTGTGCCAAAATCCGACAGCTAATTGTTTTCTTTTTGAATGCGATGAGTGTCCCGGGATTGCGACGGTTTTTGAAGACTTTAAAAATCTGTTTGATGCTCATAAAATCGAAAAAATCGATTACAAATCGTGGACTAGCACTGATCGGTAATGTGTCACTCATATAACTATACAAATGTTTTTGCTTGCCTATATACACTTTTGTTATATTGTAATCCACTTAATTGCAGATGTGAGCTTCAGTGTTTTAGCAAAACACCAGCCGAATTTTTAGATGAACTACAAAAAGGGTTACCGTCACTTTTAAAGCATGATTACATTGCAAAGGCACAGGCGGAATATATAGATAACATCAAAATCAATCTTCAGAGTGGGGAATTCATTGTTACTCTTGATTTTTCGGAAAATTTTAGTATTGTTGTTCAAGATGCAGTACAATCTTTCCACTGGTCGAATAACCAAGTAACTATTCACCCGTATGTAGTGTACTATAAAGATGATGACAAGCTTTTGCGTCACAATTTTGTAATAATATCAGAAAGTAGAAAACACGATGCGGTAGCCGTGAATTTGTTTAACAAAAAAATGCTAAGCTACTTGTTTAATGTTCATGGCAAGAAAAATGTTAAAAAACTCATATTTTTCTCCGATGGTGCAGCATCGCAGAATAAGAATAAGTATAATTTTTTAAACTGTGTTCACTTGATGAAAAAACACAAAATTGAAATTGAATGGAATTTTCATGCAACGGCACATGGAAAATGCGCTTGCGATGGAATCGGTGCTTCAGTTAAAAGAAATGCTCATCGTGCCAGTTTGCAGCGACCTTTGAATGATCAAATTTTAACAGCTAAAAATTTATATGACTGGGCGATTAATGCCTTTCAGAAGGTTTCTTTTGACTTTTGCACCGAAAAAGAGCATGAAAAAGAACATAAAGCTCTTGAACCACGTTTTACAAAAGCAACGTCAATTAAAAAAACGCGCGACTACCACTCCTTTGTACCAATCATGAATGACGTCAAGCACATTCTTTGCAAAAAAATTTCATCCAGGAACATTTCTGACAAACGTCAGATACAGAAGTAATTATGTCCTATAATAAGTCACTACCAAGAAGATTAGTTAACAAAATGACTAATATGCTTTTTTAGTTATACGTTTGTATGCTTGTTACATTAATCTACAGTCAAACTTATCAAAACTTGGAGAAAAAAAAGTGATAATATTGTTTATTGTTTGTTTGTGAATGTTGTTTATAATAATCATAACATTTTTTCCAAATGAGTCTCATTTTTTTTCTCAACGGATTCATTCAGGTTTCCCCTTGATACATATACAGTATTTTTTTCATGAAAAAATTCGATGCAGAACACTGTTTTATCATAATTTGTTATAAACAATTGAAAGTAATATGCAATAAATTACGTAATACATTTTTTGAAAAATTACAGGCTTGAAATGTGAAGAATTATGAGTCGATGGCCGTTTGAAATTTCAAAATCGATAGAACCTAGCAAAAGTTATAGTCGACAGAAGAAAAAGTTACAAAAAACTTTGTTGCTCAATATTAACAACAACAAATTTGTTTTTACCAAATCACTTGGCACACGTATATAGGACTATAAACTCTACCAGAATATGGTATTAAAAACAAAAACTGAGACCTAACATTTTTAGGTGGCCCACTTCAGGAATTCTTACCCAGTACTAATCTGAAATACATCTTACGGTGTCTGAAGTTCAGTTGACTAATTTGAAGTTTATTTTACGCTATATGTACGGTGACCATCCGTTCTGTTTTTTGCAGGACCGTACTGTTATTTAAAGGTCTGTCCTGCGTAGTTTTTCACAACAGAAAACCCCCAAAATGGACTGATTTTTTCTAAGTGTCCTGCCTTTATCCCGCATTTTCTTCGATATTTTAAAATTAACTTTTCCTAATCGAAATAAAAGCAGTGTCGATAACTAATTGATAACTACATAAGGGTAAGCTGGTTTTGAAGGTTCAACTAGTCAATGCGTTCTAAATATTGTACGGTTATGGACAATGGATGACGAGAAATTGAAGACCAGCATCAAATATATCGATAACACTGTCCTACAAATTTTGTGGTAATCGCTTAAGAAAAAAAATATTTTCCAAGCCAATTTTCCTTTCAAACAAGCGTTTTCGTAATTTTTTCGAAAAACGTGTTTTTGGAATATTTCGAACCAATTCGTCAATATGTAATGAAAAAATTATCCAATCAATATAAGCGACCTACAGTCCTCTTACAAAAATATATTACTTTGCCGATTTCGATGAAAATTATTAGTGTTACAAGCGACCAAAATCGAAAAATTGAAATTTCAATCATTTTCTTTTTACAGTAAATGAAAATCTGATGAGAAATGTAGATGTTACGGAAAACACAATCTGCACAAAAAATATATATTTTTGCAAAGAGCCCATCAATACCTTTCGAACTGTTGGTCGTTTCATGAGATATTGAGGAATAACTGAAAAAGTACTAAAAATACGTTTTTCGAACAAATCTCAAAAACACTTCTTTGAAACCATGGGTATTTTTTTCGTGTTCAACGACCCAAAGTTTGCCTAAAAAATTTGCCTTACAGAGGTTTATATTTCGTGTAAAGTAATATGTAATATGCCTTATTATAATTTTGCAAATATTCATTACTAAAAGATTAATACCAATGAAGCAAATGTGATTTATGTTTAAAGTTTAAAATTGGATTAATAATTAAGAAATATACACTCTTCGTTATTTGAATAGCGCAACCTTTTAATACTTAGTAGGTAGAGTTTTCCTTTTGTTTGTTGAATATTCATTAACTTTTTATAAAAATATAGCATATTCTACGTCTACATCCCATTTTAAAAATTTTTGAAAATTAAAAAAAAAATAAACATATGGGCGACAATTTTTTTTTGTTGATCAAAAAGAGGGTGCGCTATTCAAATGATGAGGAATGTATATATGTAGTATATTTTTGTTATTTTTATACTACGCAATTATATGTAGGTAAATTTTTTGAAAAATTGTCCTGCATTTTCAAAATATATTTATGGTCACCGTATGGTTTCTGAAATACAATTGACAAATCTGAAGAAGATTCAACGGTTGCTGAAGTACAGTTGATTAATCTGAAGTACATCGTACGGTATCTGAAGTACAATATACGAATCTGAAGTATTTTTTCTGGTTTCTGAAATACAATTGACTATTCTGAAGTTATTTTACGATTTATGAAGTGCATTTGATTAATCTGAAGTATATTTTACGGTATCTGAAGTTCATTTGGAAAAGGTGTAGAAGCGATTACCGATTTTTCGCTAAGCGCTTACGCATTCACACACGCATGCTATATTCGTTGGCGCGTGGTAAACATTGTTTCGTTATAGAATCACTGGCAGATACAATTTAAAACAACGCACCTTTTCGTAAATTTACTATCATTATTAGTTAAAATTTTTTGTAAACCATCCAACGTTGTGTCGAGTGGCTGTTTAAGACTTTACACAATCGAACATCGATAGCTATCACACCATGTTGTTACACACGTGGAAACCCCGTTAATGAAAGAAACCTCATAAGAATGCCAAATAGCGCCTTTTGCATTGATGATGATATGTAATTGTGATAGTATAAACCCATATCTGCTTTTTTCGCATTATTTAAACAACCATGTGTATTTTTAAATATATATTATAATTATTATAAAAACATTTTCTCTTAATTTAAAAAAAAAGGTTTCTAAACGTAAGAAAACAACGATGTACAAATCCATAGCAAACTGTGAATTTGATAAAGCCGATTTGATGTTGTATGAGGAAGTAACTAAAATGCCGCCGTTTCGAAGGAAAACTCTTGTTTTGATTGGTGTTCCAGGAGTTGGTAGACGCACCTTGAAAACTCGCCTTGTCAATAGTGATTCGGAACGCTTCGGCTTTGTTTTACCACGTAAGTCCTAATAATATTATAAATGTGAAAGTTTGTATGTTTGGAGTTCCACACGCGAAAACGACTGAACGAATTTCCATGCAATTTTGCACACAGATAGTTTATAACCTAGACTGAAAAACAGGCTACCTTTTTAAGAGTTGCCACCTGTTATAAAAGTTTATCTAGTTTAATTATCACGCGGAAACGACTGAACGGATTTGCATTAAATTTTGCACACAGATGGTTCATGACCTGATTGGAAAATAGGCTACTTTTTAAGAGTTGCCACCTGTTAAGTAAATTAAATTAAATTAATGAGTGTTATCAAATATTACAATACAGGTGTCTAACGAAAAAATGTTGGGGAGACGTTAATTCGAAGATATTTTTGAAGGGGGTTGCCACCCGTTTGTAAATTTAATTTCGCACACATACTACGTCTATACGCACGTATTATTTACAAATAACAATTTGCAAAATGGTAAACTTTGGCGTATAAACGCTGAGTTAATTTTTTATTTGCAAATAACTAAATCACACAAATAAGTATTGATTAGTGGTACTATTGGCAAATAAGCGCAAGACGCCGCCACTCTTAGGTTTATTTTCTTTTTCGATGGTCATCTTATTGCCTTTTTATAATCAACACGTTGCCATTTTTAACTTTATTTTCTTTTTCGGTGGTCATTTTTACAATCAGGCAATATTAAAAAAGAATTTTTCACCATCGAATAAACAGTGAGTTAGGTATTTACAAATTATTTTTATTTGCGAATAGCTTACGTATAAAGGTAGCAACAGATGGTTTATGACCAGGATTAAAAAATAGACTACTTCCTTAACCGCTTTCCGATCAGAATCCAAATTTCGCACACTTATTACGGATTTCCCAAGGATGGTGTTAGACTTAAAATAATTCCTATAAATCAAGAGGGCGTGGCCCCTCCCATATAAATTGGAGTTTTCATAATGCATACATATCTCTGGAAGTATTTGTGAGAGAGTACTGGAACTTGGTATGGAGATATGTATGTATGGGAAATCAAATTCACACTCACGGAAAAAATGGGGTTTTGGGAAAATGGGCGTGGAACCTCCCATACTAACTGAAACTTACATATTGCATATCTCTTCAAATAGTTGTGGTAGAGTACTCAAGCTTGGTATGGGGATATATATGTACAATCACCAGAATATGTTTCCGTACAGTGTTTTATTTTTAAATTTTAATATTTGCAATGTTTTTCGTAGCAAATTTTTTCGTTAATTTTTAATAGAAATATAGTTCATTCTCAAATGGCATATAAATTAATGACTCAAAGTTTTTACAAATTTTAAGAAAATTCGACAATTTCAACTTTTAAACAACGTTTTTTACAACTTTTTTGAGTATGCAGTTTAGTACTTCACTCAATTTTAGTATAATAAAGTGCAAGTTTTCAGAGTGCAATGGGGTATAGTCGTTGTGCTGAGTATGCAGTTACTGTCGCACGGCAACGTGTGTCACTCTGGGCAACGTGAGCAACCCATGTGCGAGATGCGGTAACCAATCCGAGTGGATCCTTGGATCATGGCAGAAAGAGAGGGAGCTTTGGTAGGGACACTCCGACTTATTCGGTTTAAGGGCTCACTGAAGTCTGCAGCGTCTGTTCACCAGTAGGTGCGGCTGCAAGCGGGTGTCTGTCTTGGAGCAAGCGGCGCGCTTTTTAAACGTGTATTCGGTTACAAAACCACCCCCGTTCCATCAATGAGTTGTGTGCTGGGTTTGGGACCCGCCACGTACTACAGCTGCCATGTAAAAGAGCGCAAATTCGGTGTTGGATTTGTGGTGGGAGAGAGTCTCCGTCCCCGAGTACTGTCGTTCATCCCTGTGGACGGGCGTTTGGCCACAATCCGCATCAAAGCGAGATTCTTCAACATCTCGCTCATCTGCGCCCATGCCCCGATGGAAGAGAAGGATGAGGCATCCAAGGATCTCTCCTATGAGAGCTTGGAGTGCACGTACGAGCACTGCCCCCGTCATGATATCAAAATCGTGCTTGGCGACTTCAATGCCAGGGTGGGCAAAGAAGGGATCTTTGGGACCACCGTCGAAAAATTCAGCCTCCACGACGAAACGTCCGACAACGGATTGATGCTGATCGACTTCGCCGGGGCCCGAAACATGGTTGAATAACTCAGTGAGAGGGGAGACCAGTATGTTTACATTTATGTATTTATATAAAAAAAAATATTTATTGGTTCAAAAATGGTGGGTAGGCACTGTGGCCAATGGCAAAGTTCGTTTGCCACCTCTGCATGGTTGTAAGTCATGCAGAGTCCGCAAAATGCTCCGGAAGCAGTGTCCGGAGGATGCATCCGACTAGGCAGAGCATAATTTGGAGAGCCATCTAATCAGAACTTAAGAAAGTCCAATTACATGGCAGTTGAGAAGTGCATGTGCAAAAATTTCATAAATTGCATAATTGACCACCTATTTGTCGACTTTAAAGCCGCTTTCGACAGCACTAAAAGGAGTTGCATATACGCCGCTATGTCTGAGTTTGGCATCCCCGCCAAACTAATACGGCTGTGTAAAATGACGTTGAGCAATACCACCAGCTCCGTCAGAATTGGGAAAGACCTCTCCGAGCCGTTCGCCACCAAACGGGGTTTCCGACAGTGCGCCTCCCTATGATGTGACTTCTTTAATCTGATGTTGGAGAAGATAATAAGAGCTGCAGAACTCAACCGCTTAGCAATTTACTACAAGAGCGTGCAATTGCTGGCGTACGCCGATGACATCACATCATCGGTAACAAGAACCGCGAAGTCTGTTCTGCCTTTTCCAAGTTAGATAAGGAAGCAAAGCGAATGGGTCTGGAGGTAAACGAGGACAAGACGAAGTAGCTCCTGTCATCAAACAAACAGTCAGCACATTCGTGCCTTGGCATCCACGTCACTGTTGACAGGTATAATTTTGAGAAAGTAGAGAATTTCGTTTATTGGGAATCAGCTTTAACGCCGATAATAATGTCAGCATGGAAATCCAACGCAGAGTCACTCTTGCCAACAAGTGCTACTTTGGACTGAGTAGGCAATTCAGGACTAAAGTCCTCTCTCGACGTACGAAAACCACACTCTATAAGACACTCATCATGTCCGTGCTGGTATATGGCGCAGAAGCATGGACAATGACAACATCCGATGAGGCGGCTCTTGGAGTATTCTAGAGAAAGATTCTGTGGAAGATTTACGGGCCTTTACACGTAGGCGACGGCGAGTACCGCAGACGATGCAGCGATGAGCTGTATGAGCCTTACAGCGACATGACATAGTGCAGCGAATTAAAATACAGCGCCTCCGCTGGCTTGGCCATGTCATTCGATCGGACACCGACGCTCCAGCTCTGAAAGAATTCAACTCGGAACCCGCTGGTGGTAAAAGGGGAAGAGGGAGGCCCCCACTGCGATGGAAAGACCAGGTGGAGAAGAACTTGGCATTTCCATTTGGCGTCAGTTGGCACGGAAAAGAAACGACTGGCGTGCTTTGTTGAACGTGGCCCAATTCGCTTAGGCGGTTACAGTGCCAAATAAGGAAGGAAGGAAAGTGCAAGTTTTAAGTGGCTATAATTTACCGTTGAGTTTGCGAATTTTTTTATTGACGCTCTTCGGTATTTTTCCCATACAAAAAACTATCACGCATCCGTTATATGGAGAAAATGAGCAACATCATCAGCAAAAAAAATTCTCAAAAATCAACAGTAGTTTAAAGCTACTTAAAACTTGTACTTGATTATACTGAATTTGAGTGAACTACAAAACTACGTACTCAAAAAAGTTCTAAAAAATGTTATTTAAAAGTTGAAAATTTTGGTGTAAATTTGTCAATTTTGTAAAACTTTGAATAATTACTTTATATGCCATTTGATGCAGAATGAACTATATTTCTATCAAAAATTAACGAAATTACGAAAAACATTGCAATTAGTAAAAAAAAATAACTATAGAAACATATTCTGGCTTGTGTATGTGAAATCAATCCTAAACTCATTGAAGAAAATTAGGGTTATAAGAAAACAGGGGACTGTTTTTACCACATTTCCTTGGATGTGTTTGTGGAAGAATACTGGAACTTGGTATGGAGTTATATATATAAAATTTATCAATTGCTCATGGAAAAGATGTGAGTTATTAGAAAACGAGGCCTCCCATAATAAAATCTCTGGAAATATTTTAAATTTGCTATGGAGAATTATTTTATCAGTACCGTACTGATAGACAAAATTTCAGCTAATGGAAAAGGAAGAGTCGGCATCTGCGATATAATCTAAAAATCGCATGATGCATACCTCTGGAGACATTTAGCTACAATACTGAGAAGTGGTATTTTATCAAAGCCAGGTTACTGAATTGGAGTTGGGAGTATTAAAAACCCGCCGTGGCACCTGCCAGAAGGCTACACGTTCACGCAATGTATCCCTGGAACCATTTTAAGGTAAACAAAGAAAGAGCAATTGATACCTTTCGTATGCCTACCATGCAGACAAGATTTTATAATTTCATAGCTTCAAACGGCCTAAATACCTTAACTCGTTAAAAAAATGTATAAAATGGGCACGGAAATTAAATATAACATCTTTAAACTATATTTCACATTTGCATAAAAATGTGGGGTGAAACCCGCGGGTATAAGGTAGTGATTCATACTAGGGTGGTCCTTACAAATTAAATGAACGATTTTTGGCAGTCTCATCCCCTCAATCGGTAATACCTCGATCACAGATATCGCGTATGCATTTTGGTTCCGATTGGAGACGGTTAAGGCCTGTCGCACAGGGGGCAAAATTCAGATTCCTCTTTAGAGATTCAAAAAATTATAATTAATGTGTATATGTTTATTGAATTTAATAAAAAATTAAAAAATACACATGATAATTTGTCCTTTATTTACACTTCAAAAATATGGTCACCGTATGGGGCTGCCATACGTCTCGGTTTTTCGGGACATGTCCCGCTTTTAGACTGTTCGTCCCGGTGTCTCGGTCCATCCTTGAAGTGTCCCG